CCCTGAGCATGGCTGTAGGTAAGAGGGGCAGGTCCCTGGACTTGCAAGTGCAAGGCATGTCCCCAGCCCGGTCACTTACCCAGCTCTCTCACTGCTGGCAGGCCATTTAGTGATTCTAGCCTCATCGTTCTCTTCTAGGATAGGGCTATTAATAACTTTCCTCCCAGGGATGATTTCTGTGTGAACGAAGTTTGCAAGCTCTCTTAGGAATTTTTATTTGAGAGCTCAGAGAACCTCCCCCAGGTCCTGCCCAGGAGACTGATGACAGGTGGTGCCTCCAGGGCTCTCTCTCATTCAAAGGTGGGCTGAAGACGCCACAGGCCTCCTTCTCCCAGATACTAAAGAATAGCACTTAAAATAAGTGATAATCAAGGGCAAAAAGGAAAGCCTTTCTACATTTCCACATAACACCAGGACACACTGTTACCCCTTCCTCCACGAAGAAGGACCTATTCCGCCGGACAGCTGACCAGGCCTTGACATGATTTCCACAGTCTGTTGTTTCTGAAGGTTTCCTTTTCTGAACTAGAGATTCGCCCACTGGCATCTCCCAGCCACTTTAGCCCATTATCCGGGTCCTGGGAGAACTTCCTTCCTGGCGGGGACGTTACTAGGGGGAGACCTGAAGCTAAACAACTGTCAGTACAGTTTGTCTCCTGAATAAGAAAGCATAGAAGAAAGCGCTTCAACGCTAACATAAGACCCGTACGGTATTTTTTGCAAGGTCTGCTTATAAGTCTTGTTAATATGTAAGTTAAAAAAAATCAAGGTGGGCTTGTTTTCTTTAGTTCTTGGCCCCAAACAAGCAAAAATATCTGGAAAAAAGATGGAGGGTGGAAGTGACATTGTATTACATACCTGGGCTAAAAAGTTAGTCTTGTGTGTCACCAAAGAGAACATCACCCCAGAAGTGAATTCACAGGGAGACCAGCTCTGTTTCAAAGTTGTGTGTGGGGGGTGGGGGGTGGGGTGGGGGGGCATTTGTACAAAGTGTGATGGAAGAAATTATATGATCATTTAGCAAGATGATGAACTGTCAGGAAATTTTACAGAATCTTTGAAGGGCCCAAGACTCTACATTGTATAGGAAGAACAGTACGCTTAGGGTGTAAGGAGCACTGGTGGTCCACTACTTAAGTGTTTGTCCGCTAACAAAAGGTAGGGTAGGAATTTGAAGCCACCTAGCAATTCTGGAAGACATGGCCTGATCTGCTTCCCCCTAAAGATTACAGCCTAGGAACCCGATAGGGCTGGTGCTATCGAACGGGGTTGCTTCCAGTCGCGATGAACAACAAAACTCTCCACACTTGTGGGGAACCAAAAATGACATAGCAGCACCTCTCATTTCTGGCACCACCTCCTACTCCTAGGGTTGGGAATTGAATTTAGAATCTTCATGCAATGCCAGAGTGCATAGGCTTCTATTTGGGTGTCTTAAGTCAATGTCAATTAGCGTTCAATGAATACAGTTTTCTCTGGACCCTAGCTAGATGGGTAACAAGCCAAAATTAAAAATTAGAAGGAACGATTCATGCAAGCACCTTAGATACTGAAAGACATTATCCTCTTTCTCTGGGATTTTTAAATTTTTGTTTGTAGAACTGCTTGTAGAATTTGTTCATGTGGCTAGAGCCTGATGCCAATTAATATCAATCAGAAACAAAGAGCAAAGATTTTACTAATTCTTGTATAGCTTCCAAGGGGAAATGCCAAGTAGTTTAATAAAAATGCATCTTCCACACACAACTTTGCGTAAAATAAGTTCCCTCATGTTGAGTAACTAAAACAGAACTTCTGGGCACATGTTGTGTTTTTGCATGGTCATGTCTGTATTGAAGGGGTAAGATGATGTTTTGTAGTTATTTTTCATTAAAGTTGGTAAGATGACTATGCTTTCAAGTCAAAGAGAGATAATCAGTATAAATCACTTATAGTATCGCCATTCAGGCAAGTCATGAAAGAACAGTAACTGGTTGGATTTAAGTAACTCCTTATTGTTCATAATGAATTGTACAGTTGAAAGGGCTAAAGTTTTGAATGTGTAAAAAGGGAAACCGCTAACCTTCAGAGACTTTTTGGGCACCATGCAGTTGGCCTTGGAGTAGGCTGGGATATGTGTTACCATCTGCCGATCAAAGAAGGAGCTGCGTCTCTCCTTCTCTCAGAGCTGTCCCTTCTAAAAGTTCCAGTGTAAGTATGACCATGTCATTGGATTAACAGCATGCCATTCAGCTCTCTTCTAATAAGGGACAAAGATCTACAAGATCTAAATTGATTTTAAGCAGCTCAGAGACGTTGAAAATACAAATATTTTACATGTCTAACCCACTGTACTTCTGTCTCGTGAAACTTCCATAAACATTTTCAGCATTGCGCTACACAAGAAGACTCATGGCCTAGTTTGAATTGTAGACTGCCTCTTTCTCTCAACCTTCCTGATGCCTTGAACTCCACTTTTCCTGGAGACAGGTAAAAAAACTTGGGCTAACTATCGAAACAGTATACACATGGAAATCCTAATTATATTAATAATGCTTAGCATCCTGTTATTTGACCCTCTGAAAGGAAGAGTAATGATCAACCTTATGAAAAACTTAAGAATGAGGGTAGAAACAAAATCATGGAAATATCCTAGAATCTTAAAGCTATTTCCAAACAAAGTGGACACAATGGGTGCATTTTTTTCCAGCATTTAAAAGACTCACAGAGCCCAATTTTAACAACTGCAAAATGCTTAATTTAGACATTAGACTTTTTTCCATGTAGCTCCAGAGGCAAATGTTGGTTTAACAGGAAAAAAAAAACCCATTTATGGATAAGAGCTATCTCTGTAGTAGGCTAGATTTCTGGGTGGCCAGATTTTAAATGATGCAGGATGATGAATGGTCAGGAAAACTTACAGAAACCTGGACTTATTTCTCTCAAATTGTTCTGTGTAAATATATTTCAGAACTAAAATCTCTGCCCTGAGAAAAACTCTGATACAGACCCATGCACCAGAAAACAAAGTTATGATTCAACGGTTAGGGTTTAATGTTACTGCCATAAGCAAAGGGCTGCTATATGTTAACAGTCTGGAAGGGTGTTACCATATTTTCATGCAAACAATGTGCGTGCTAAGTGGTCGGTAATTTTCTCATGTATTAGTCCCCTATGCATGATATGTGAGTTATATGTACTGGCTATGTTATTTACATGGGAGCAAATTATGAGAAAAACATGGTAGTTTTTCCTATCATGGAGGTAAAAAAAAATGACCAAGTTGTAATAGAATGACATGCCACGTTAAAAATCGAATTGCTTTGTTAGTCAAAATACTCTGCATTTTTAGAAACTCTTAACCTCTTCTTAGAAATAGCATTTGTCATATAGCTGAAAAGATTATAGCAGTCACTAATGAATTGACCAAGAATGGATGTGACCTATGTCTCCAATGAAAACAGAGCTGAAAGACTCATCTCACCTTAAGAAGAAACACAACTCATAATATACATCCTTCAACACGAAGGCACCACAAATACCACACAGGTTTGGGGTAGCCTTCACCCCTCACTGCGATCATAATTATGTCAGGATTGTAATACACCGAGTTAGTTTCTTTCTGAGAAAATCAACCATGGTGGCATCAAGAAGCAAGATACACAGAAAGAAGGCAGGAGGAAATGAAGAGAAGATGGAGAGGTAAGGAAGGGAGCGTTTTCATCACCATAGCGTCTTTAATCAGATCATTTTCAAAGATGTGAAATCATCTAGTATCCAAAGGGCCTCATGAGTTTTAATGGACTGATCTGACAAGTAATCTAACCTGGAATATTCATGGTTGCACCAAAGTTATAATTGAGAACCAAGATTCCCAACTCTTCTGTCCCCTATTTACTCAATAAGCTAACCATCCCACCAAAAAACAAACAAACAAACACATACTAAGGCCATTAAAAAAATGGACATGTTGAGTGAATGCTAGAGGCTGCTTTCATATCAGACTAAAACCAAAAAGGATAAAAATACCAAATACTGATAACACCCACTACATCACTTGCTGACACAAGACTGCTCTCTTAATTTAGGGACCCATGCATGAGGTACTTCCAACAAACCAGAAGAGAAGGAGTAAGGATAGACTATGCTAGATAAAGACTTCAGACTTCTATGGATTGGGCTGTTGATGTTCAGATAAGGAAGTCCCCCTTTGAGATTCAGGGGCTGTTATTTACATTATGGACTCTCCAGTGGAGGATTCATAGTAGTGTTAAGTACTTTCATTAAAGATAAGGCATACACTTTTGCTCCCCTCTGTGGTTATCTCTTTGGAAACTGCATCAGCAGAGAGATGCCAGGCAATGGGGTTGAGGCACATTTTATAGAGGTATATCTTTTTCAGCCTACTGGGTCCCTACAGATGGCTAAAGCAGGGGTATGGAACATTCTGTCAGTTTTCATTCATAACACACATGTACTATAGTTCTGGGCAACAGATGGACAATCCCTTGTTGAAACTACAAATGTGAAATACTAAGGTAGAACTGCAATATTTCTAGAAATGTCTATGGGGGGAAGAAAGCCATTCCAAGCCAAGAGGAATTGCAAGAGGCTGTGAGGTCACACCAGTGTTTCCCTCTCTCCCTAGCAGCTGCCGTAATTTCCCCAACACCCTTCAAAACTTGATAATGGAGGGGTCAGGGGGCAACTGACACAGATTTGACAAGAGAAGCCCAAACCATATCAAACAGAAATAACACTGTTATTCCTGGCTGGTTCACATTAATAGGGATTTTACTAACTAGGAAAACTGATGGAGGTGGTATTTGCAGTGTTTTGTCTGCATTTCATTACCTCTTTCTGGTAGCCCCATGGATAGTTCTCCCTCTTTCCTCCTCTGGACCCAAATGCAAAAGAATTAAAGTTTACAGACTTTAAACATCAGCATAAACACGTATGCTGAATTTTTGTCAGGAACAGGTATAGTGTTGAAAACCCCACCACATTAATAAGCATTTACCCAAATTAAATAATTTTAATTGGAAAAGCTGCCTCTTCAGACACAAAAATGTGAAAATGACAAGTACAGGACCCCACAACTTTGAGCTGCAGATGCCCAGCATCTTAAAATCCTTAAGCGGTATGCTGGGACCCATGGCTCATTCAGAGGCAAGTCTGTTGATCGATGTGCTTGAGGGAGTACTGTCAAGCACGCTGAGTTAGGATGGTCGGGACTGGGGATCCAGACAATTAGGAACTCTTAGTTAAAATTAAAACAGTTTGCAAATCTGGATATTTTGACATATTTTCTCTTATAGACTATATAAGGATATTTTCTACTACTCTTAGACTTAAGTAATAACTACCAAGACAATTGATCAAAGGCAATAAATGATTATAATCATGAAGGTAATATCTTTGTCTCTCTTATAGGCAAAATTCATGTAGCTAAAGCAGTAAAGAATAACTTGGTATTGTTTAAATCAAGTGATTAATACAAAGGACAAGAAACAAAACACATCACACATTACTTTAAAAATCCTGAAATACAACAGTGTAGGATTCTTTCCTTATTAGACTTTGTGAAAGAAAAAAATCTAAATATTTCTGTATATGTTTGTGTGCACATTCATTATTATAAAAGTATAAGTCTATATTAAAAAGAGATTTATTTTAAAAAAATCTTTGGTAAAGATACTTTGTGGTTAAGTGATAAAAATGCAGTATGAAAACCGCAAGCAAGCAGTATTTTGCTGGCATTGCCACAGGACGGGTCTGTGACTGCATTTTCTTAGAACTCTTTTGGGGGGCATGTAAACATTCCGTTACATAAAGATTAAGCAGAACTGAGTGTTATTGCATTTTTATAGTATAAATATGTCTTAAGCTCTTATTTTGGCAAAATTGATAATATGATTGAAGTTCATGAGATAAAATCTATCCCTCAATAACACGGGCTCTCTACTGTTGACCTACAAATCTCTACCCTCCACCCCAATTATTTCACAGAAAATTAGTTATGGAATCAACTCAAGCAGATTACATAATCACCCTAATTGCCTAATAGACCACAATTTATTTGATGTCACCAGCCTGGTCTGGCTTTTAAGTTGGAAGATAGAAAACCGGAGATACGGCTGCCACTGCATCCTTCAATGTCCACGAGGTCCCGACTAAGTGGCTCGCCTTGGGTTTCACATTAGGAAAAATACAAGATCACAGTTGGGTGGTTTACAACAAAACTGCTTGGTGTTGAAAGCAATGAGCCCCAAATTAATTAGAGCCATGGTGACTTGGGCTTGTTGTTGATCTTTTGCCTCATAGCAAGCCCACGTGATAGAGTAGAGAGGGCCGATGGGGTATTCTAGGCTGTAATAATTACAGGAGTAGATCTACAGAGCCACTGTGGGGGTGGGAAGGAGAGTTAAGTCACATGCTTAACCACTGTGCTACAGGGCTCCTTGAAGCCTCGATGCAGGGTTATTCTTATTCAACTAAAATAGATCGTGTTGGGCTTCCTGAGGCATGAACAGGTTGTGATTCGAAACATGCACAGGTAAGTTTGCATTTCTCTTCTGGATGTTAGCATTTTCAAAATGAGAGGAAAGAAAAGAAAATCCTACTCAATAAGACCTGACTCTCTCTCTGTCTCACCAGGAACGAGTTAGATGTAGAATCAGGGAAGGGTTCCAGGGGATTGTCTTTATTACTTGTAACATCTGAATTCTTAAACTGGGTGGAACACAGGTATACAAGGGTTCATTATATTATTATTTATATCTTTTTGTATATCTAAAATATCTCATAATTTAAAAGCATACATTTGTGAAAGACTTGAAGGAAAGTGTGAAAAATCTCAGTCCCAAATACTTCATTATTCTACAAGACGGCAGCCTGCCATTACTAAGCTAGGTGTCTCTCCTTAAAGGAAACATTTAGAACCGAACGAAGTGTGGTTCTGCAGTTGGCAAGCCAGCCTTGTGCTGGCCAATAAGAGTTTGAATAAGAATTCTAGGCAGAGACCCTGCATATTTTTAGCTCTAAAAGGTAATTTTTCCCCCCAGTGATTGTCTTTGAAAGTGTGGTGTAAATGTCACATCAGTGATATGAAAATGTCTCTTGCAATATGTAATTTGACTTGCAAAGGATTATGAGAATAATAAAACTGTGGTTTCACAATCTTTTCAAGCTTTCTTCTCTTTTAAAAGTAACGGAAAAAAGAAGGCTGCTTTATTTGAAGTATGCCCTTACTTGCAATTGTTAGGCTAAATGTAGCTGGTCTTGGGAAGGGGACGGAGAACCGGATATTATTCTTTATGGCCAGAGTTGTTCTTTTTAGAAAAAAAAGTTTTCATTTTAGTACTTGTGTTCAAATAGTACAGAAAGCAAGGCAATATATATGTTGTTGATCTCCCGCTTGTATTAACATAACAATGTTTAAGATGGAAAATAGGACCATGTTGGATATCCTATATTCTAGAGAAAACCAAGTTTATCAAAATTATACCTGCTAATATGAAAAGGAACTCTCACAATGATTTTGTGGAGTAATAAGTGGACATTTCAAGTATATCTAGTATGATTTTTCCAGCAGTGGCACCCACAGTTTCTTTAGAAAACAATATTGAACTTTGTTTCTCACTCACCTCTCCTAAACTATGGCCTGGGGCTCTTTTTCAAAATGAGCCCTGAATTCTGGGCCATTCAGATTAGAATTTGGATGGTTACAAATTAAAATGGGGCTTACTTTAACCTACATAATACACAATTTACATGCTTGGTAGCCCAACCTATAAAATGTGCCCCCCTCCACCCTCACAACGGAAAGATCTACAGATCTTCTTCTCAATATGCAGACAAAGAGCATTGACCCTTTATGATGACAAGCCCCATGGACATGAGAGACTGGAGCCCTCGGGCCCAGCCACCTGCGGGTTTGGCAGACTCACCCACGAAAAACTGCGTGGCAGCAAATACCACACTCAAAACAGCCATTCAGCCAAATGAAAAGTGAGGCCAACATAGGGATTAAAAGTTACAGGAATGCAGAAGTGAGTGGGATGGCGCATCATCCGTGCAAAATCGTGGAAGTCCATGAGAACAAAGGCCTATCGAGGCTCTACATGATTCAATGTGAAATGTGCATTTGGTAAGGGCATTAAAAAAAAAAAGATTTCGTATTCTATGTGTTCCTAAAGTAAGGCTAAATCGCAGGTGAAGAACAGAGACTGTCCCAAAGCAAGATTTCCTTAGCACTATTTCCCTTGAGCCGGTTTGCTTGGGTTTCCTTCTTCTCCATGCCACCCCCTCACCGGGTGGTCAGCCTCTACAGGTCAGTGCTCGCCTTGGCGGTCAGCACCCTGATGCGGGCGGAGTTGCAGGTCTTGCAGAGGATGTGCCCATCCAAGGGGTAGCAGCCTTGGTTATCTCCTTCAGACAGCAGGCCGCCGCAATCCTAGGACAAACCCAGACAGACGGAAATGATGTCCGTGCAATAGCAAGTATGCAGCGAAGGCCAAATTACTTAGCTTTCTATTCAAAACCCTCTATAAAGTGGCCACTTAGGACTTTTCCCATTTCACCAAGTGCTGACTCACCGCTATATTCTGTCTACCAGTACATCGTATCATCTTCCTTCAGTTGAAATAAGTTAGAGATGGGGGCTATAAATACAAAGGGTAGCCCTTCTAAGGTTCCTTAAGGAGAAAGGCACATCCAGGAAAGGAAGAGCCAAGGGTTTGGGTGCCTAAGCAATTGTTTTCTCCCCACCTATTTTTCTCCAACGAGACCATGAGGAATCAAAACGAACACAGATTCCTAACCACTGAAGTTCACCTAAACCCTAAAGTTCATCTTCACCCTGTATCAATGTTTCAGGATCTCCCAAAGGGACTACACTTGTGCAAGACTGGCATTCCTTGGCCATTTCTAGACAAAAGCAAAGCTGTAAAGTGATTCCTACCAAGCAGAGGGACCACTGATGAGTTGGCACACTTATTCTAATTGTAAGAAAGGTAGGGAGCGGGCAGTTTGCCACAAGCTTTGCGGTTTAACCCCACTCACCTCTCCGTGAAGGAAAAGAGGAGGCTGTCTGCTCTTTTAAAGAAGGATAGTGTTGGAAAGACTACAGGGGCTCCTCCCTGTGAGCTGGAATCAGCTCCACGGCAGTGGGACATGTGCAGAGTAGACTACAATGCTTCAATCATCATTGAAAGAAGCCAGGGACCTATCCAGTACAACGTCCGTATTTTAGAAATGCAGAGAGGGAGAAGCAGAGAGCTAAACTAAGTTTGTGGCTCTCGACCAAAGGTGGGAAGTTCAACACCCAGAGGTCTCTTGGGAGGAAAGCCTGGTGATCTCTTCTGAAACCCCAGCCCTTGAGAAGTGTCTGTGACACACGGGGTTGCCACAAGGATGGCAACAGGTTTTCAAGGAGTATTCTCAGCACTTCTAAGGTGATTTCATCTATGTGGTGTTGTGAGGTGCCATGGCACTGGTTTGGACTCATAGCAGTCTGTACACAATAGAACCACGCCCGGCCCTATCCTGCGCTCGGCTCACCACTGAGGAGTGCACGTTAGTCCCGAGGGCTGCCACTTGATCTGGGAAGAGAAAGACATTTGATGCAATGTCTTTAGTGCACGCCCCCACCCCCCACAAACATGTAAAGTCAAAGACTCCAGATACGTATGTCAAGTATGTAAGGCATGTTGAGAAGCCTTTGCTTTCAACCTCTGTTGTAGAGGCTGCATCTCTCTGTAAAGGGCTCTCTGCAGGGTCCATGAGCTCTGACACATGGACGGTTCACATGGGATCGAAAGGGATGCTGGACTTTACTGTTCCTCTACCTCCTTGGTTATAAATGCTGTGTATACGGCGGTTTTTAAAATTTACTTTTTATAAAAAGATCGTTTTATTGGGGGCTCTTACAACTCCTATTACAATCCATACATCAATTGTATCAGACAAATTTGTACATATGTCGCCATCATCCTTTTCTAGACATTTACTTTCTATTGAGCCCTGGGTATCAGCTCTTCTCTCTCCCTCCCTCCCCCACCCCCCGTAGCCCCTTGATATATCAAAAAAGCAATGCCATGCCCCAGAGTCCATTGTGACTCACAGTGACCCTCTAGGACAAAGGAGAAATGCCCCTGTGGGTTTCTGAGAGACTCTAACTCTTCAAGAGAGTAGAAAGTCGCATCTTTCTCTTATGAAGTGGCTGATGGTTTCGAACTGTTGTCCTTGTGGTTAGCAGCCCAATGCACAATCTCTTTGACACCTGTTCTCCTGCTAGCTAGATTATATGGGCTACTTGCCCAAGGATGCAGTAATAAGGAAGTTTGTATTATACACCACATTGGAAATGGAAACTGAAATCTGTTAAAAACAAGGCAACTGCTTCAAAAGAGAGGGTCTGAGCAACTTGCTGAACCAGGTTAGAAAACCTTTAAAAAGCAATCAGCTCTGTGCAGGTGGTGCCCTTTTGATGTCTAAGTGATAAGAGGAAAGCCCTCTCGTCCTGGATGGCTACGTGTCTCTTAGACACAGGGGACCTCCTCTGAGAAGTCAGCCTTGGCACTTGCAACTTAGATTTCAGGTCTCGGCTATGAGTTCTCCTAGCACCTTGTGAAGAATTCTCCCTTAGCAATCATCTTACTCTTGGCTTAGGTGCTCAGTCGAGGATTATGAAATAGATCATGATCCATAACTGTGCACAACGAGTTCAAACTCCTCAGACATACTAGAATGCCTTTCATCTTTCTCCATGGGTGACCCATTGGAGTAGCTAATTGCATCAGAGCCAACGTTAAAGATTCAATATTATACTAATAATACCATTTCTACTAATTTAACATTTTGAAATTGATAACGCCCTTTCATATACCATTTTGCATTTCAGCTTGACAGCCATACATTGGAGAGTTAAGAATTTGAATCCTTTGGGGAGGTAAATTGATTTAACCCATGCCATTTACATTAAATGCAAGGGTTAGCTCTAAAACCCAAGTTATGAAGAGAAGAATGAAGGTTTTCCCCAGATGAATCACTACATTTATAAAAAGTCAGCTCTCAACAGAACTTTCAACAGTTGATGGGGACACTGGCTACAGACCTCACACCGGTAGCAGTGCACATGGAAATCACGATCCAGAGCCACAATGCGGACAGTCTCCTCTTGGCCAGGGGCCGGCATGATAGGTTCCTTGCACACAGAACATCGGGGGGCAAATTTCCTGGAAAGAGGGAGATCATTCTGATTATATATGAGGCATAAACGCCGACAAAAGAGTGCAACACAGGGAAAAAGAAAAGGCTATAAATGAAGCAACAGGATATGTGATCTTCTACCCACCAGGGTCCCTGAGCAAATCCCTTTGCCTCTCTGGCTCTATCACTTCTTCTGTAAATAAGTACTGAGACCTGGTAACAGATGACATATTATAATTGGGGATATAAATGTGAATTGCTCATGCATGAAGAGCCATAAAAACCAGTGCCATTGCATTGATTCTGACTCCTAATGACCCTATACAATAGGTAGAATTGCCTTTGTGGGTTCCTGAGATGGTGAATCTTTACATGAGTAGAAAGCCTCATCTTTCTTCCAAGGAGCAGCTGGTGGTTTTGATCTGATGATCTGTTTTTTAATAGATATCAAAGTTTATTAGTTACTAGGGTCAGGATAGAGAAAGTGGGGGTTGGAGGGCAGTGGTGATGGAAAAACTAAATGGATCATGGAATGGTATGCTTGCAAACAGATTCTGGTAATTGCTGTCAATAAGGCTAAACCCTGGAAATAATAAACAGGCAAACGTTGTGTGATAGATATATATAAGGGGGCTTCAAAGTTTGTAGGAAACTTCCATTATTT